TTTTGTTGTCATTGAATCTGATATTTCTTCATACTTTCTACTTTTACAATTCTTTTTTTTAAGTAGAAACATGGTATCAGGCAAGGAATTTGTGCCACAAAATGTTTTGCTTTCTTTGTTTCATATTAAGTGCGCAACTTTTATTCGTTTCAGTATCAGCATATTCTACCGCAGACAGATATGATGTTAGACAACAAATATTTGACGACGGAAACACTGATAGCAACAGGTACTAAATTTGTTCGCGAGCAGGTGCATTTCGATCACGTTTCTCACGTTTAAAATCACGTACCTAGCGTGGCACAGGTGTTCGTATGTGAATACATACATGCGTTAGCATGCCAATGTTGGCCAGAGAATTCATTCGAATAACGAATCGACTTCTATTTAAATAAATTTCCAACGAATGAATAAACCAATTGAATAAAAATTTATTGGATTAATTTTTGATAAGAATTTATTCAAAGTAATTCGAATAACTGTTTCCAAACACAGCTGCTTACAATATTGCTGGTTGGACGTTGGAAGTAGTAGATATTTTCATTCAATAAAAATTGCGTCTCTCGAGTTGCTTATTTTGGATACTTTCGTCCATGTCAATCGATTATACGTAATGTCCTTCGGATCGCCGAATCATCGTTCGAAAACGTAGAGCTGTTCAGATCAGTGGCGTACGTAATTCTCATACATTCAAATATGCATGGAATATTTTTCACGGAGATCGTGTCGCATCCTTTTAAACACATTTACATCTTGTTGAAGGCGCACGTGAATCGATAATGAAAATAATACTGTAAATTAACCACCATATCGTTGCTGTTTTATTGACTCCGGTTCACCTTGTCAACGAGGAAAATATAGATATTGACTTCGTCCTCGTGTTTGTCTGTAATATGGAAGCTGGAAGGACGTATTAAGTATATTACTTGTAGACAATGTATTCATAGATAACGAAATTACACGATCAGGTTTTTCAGTCTTCTGCATTGGCAAATAAATTTTTTCACATTTTTGAAACAAAATGTCAAGGCGAGATACTCAGTTTGTTCGACAAACTTTCTATCATGAATATATAAATTAAATTTTTTTTATACATAATCAGATGACTTTATAACGAACCATTGACATCTATTCTATTTCCTAATGTTACCTAATTTCCTAATCTATTTCCTAATTTTCCCTTTCAGAACTCATTTTATAATTTGCTATTTATAAATACGTGAATTATTATCAATAACGAAGAGATCGATGCTGGACAACATTGAAGAAACCTATATAAATCTATTACAATCCACGTAGTTGGTAAAAGATAAAAATTTATTTTCCCTGCGATTGAAACTGTTAGTTCTCATGGTGTGGATCGAATTGTACATCCGACATGTCCGCGCACGACCGATCGAAACTACTTTTAACTCGTTCACACGTTGTTGTTATTATAAATTCGCTTCATTCATTCTAATCTATCACGGGTCTCAGCGCGTTGCGCAATTACTCAAGGATTTATCATTCGTCACGGGAGTGGTAGCGCCGTGTCATTGTTTCGTTATCGTTGACATTGCTAACGTAAAAAGAACGAAGCTTGTTATATCTAATACCGGTTCGCAGTTCGAATAATTTATTTGTTGGAACGTAAAGAAAGTTCGTTCGGGTTACTGTCGGAACGCAGCATAACAATTCTTTTATTTTTTTTGTTTAAAGACTCGATGATTATTGTCGTTAATCGATTCCACGTATCGTCGGAATATTTATGTCGGCATCGTATCGGAGTATAATATACAGTTATGTAAACTACTTCAGGTTCGGATGGTACGCGGTTTGAGGTTAAACAATAATTAAAAGTAATCGCGAACGAAGATATCGGGATCTGATATCGGAATTTCTGTACTGTAGATAGCTACGTATTAATTTTCCATTGGATACACGCTTTTTGGAACGTAGATTTGTCTGATCGACAGGTTGTAGAAAGCCAGACACAAAATAACACGCTGAGTAACGATCATTGTTAATACTCAAACATTTGTGTGTAACTTCTTACCGCTATTGTCTTTGACCTTTGTAAGTCTTGATCTTTTAGTTCATGTCATTAAATAGATTGCTCCCATCGTGAGGGTGTTGGTTTAGCATTGAATATATTAGATGCACAATAAATGTCACAGGAGAATTCTAATTTTATAATTATTAAGGTTGAATGTATGATTTGTGAATACCATATCAATTTGAAATATAAGCTTGCAGTCATGAATAAATTGCGGATGTTTATGTAAACTCAAATTTTTGAAAACCTAATTAGGAGCATAAAATTACATTGAAAATGATTTTTGTTAATACATACTATAAAAAGTATTACATTTTTAATATTTTAGACATTTTTTTAGTGTACACTCCGTGCTATTTTGCAACTTCAAATTTCCCATAAATGGATAAGAATCCGCAGTCCAGTAATGAATGCAATGCATATGGAAGGTGTCACCTCATTGAAATCAACGAAGAGAGATAATTTTCATTCGGTGCGAATGTCACCGATCAGTTGCAGATTACAAGATTGCAGAGTATAAATGCACTAAATGATCTTCCTAATCAGTGCATCATTTAATCTCGAATTTTTATCTCCGACCGTGAAACGATATTACGAGCGTTTATCAATTGTTTTTTGTTTTCATCTGAAAAACAACAGACTGTTCACACTCAAGCGAAAACAGTGGCTCCCGGCTGTGAAGTGTGTGAAAAGTGCGAAAGATCATACGCGACAGGGTATACGTCTGACTACTACACGTATGATTCTACTGATGGAAAGATGCACACCTACTGCACCGACGTTCATTGTTCGTGATTATATTTCAACGAAAAGCTTCAGTTTCTTTTAAATGTAACTTAAGCTGATAACGATAATAATGATAGTGTGTTATTATAAATTTCTTGTCATTAGAAATTATTCAGACAAGATTTTAACTACAAAATTAGTCTATCTAACATACAATTTATCATTTGTACTGAATTTATTTATATTCATTTCAATATTATGTTTGTATTAAATATTTAGTATTTACTAGCTGTTGACTTAAAAGTATTATATGCAGGAAAATGTTGTTTAATGTTCAGTATCTAAGATTCATAAGTTAAACTTGCATTCTATAAATGAATAATTTATTTGTTATTAGTTCTTTTTATGTATTTATCACGTGCGATTTTTATGAAAAAAGAATATTGTTTTCCGAGGTATCGTAAATCTCAAATAGATCTAAACGGAACCTGCAATACTGCTCCGCGTAAGATTGGTTGGAGAACGTATCTGATCTGTTTTTCCATATTTGATGTATTTTTTGTGAGAGAAACATAATCATTCGATAATTACAAGCACGGTTGCAGATAGTAGCGCAATAAGATGTTGATCGGGATCAGGAAGTAACGCTAACGGTTACTAATAGGAGAGGAATAATTAATTTCAATGTCGTTTTTTTGAAACCTGCATTTTAAATGGTATTAATGGACTAATTTTCATAATTATGTAAGAATAACAGTGATATTGCAAATTACGTGCGGTGCAACGCCTATTCTGATAATCAGGACAAATCATAAGATAATTTTCTTCTGCGATACTAAATACACGTAATGTTGACTTTAAATAAAGTAGACTGAGATCAATGATATATGAAAGTGTTTTTCTATTTATATCAATTTAATTACTGTAGAATTTATCAATATAAGAAATATATCAGTAACTTTATGTGGTAGCCAACCTTCATTCATAAAACTCATCAAAGTTTAATTAATTACTTTAGATGTAGGTGTATGTATTTTTCACGTTTCTATTGTGGTATTAATGGAAATAAATGTTTTATTTAAAAAAAAAACAGGAATAATTAATTGAATAAGATACAAATAAATAGAAACGATATAGCTCGCAGTATATAGGTCTTTTTTCCTCTAATGTCAACGCCTCTGTCTCCAAAATCTCAAGCCATACGGTCTTAAAAATCATTCTTTCCACACTCACGTTTCATTCATTCTCAACAACGCACTCATTATCCTTGCTTACTCATCGCTCGGGAAAACCCACCAATCCTTGAATCTGGTTTGCATCAATCCCTTTCTGTTTTATGGCCCTCAGAATACTCGCTGTCCCACTGCCTTAAAGCTACGATACTAATTTATTTTTTATTGTTAATTTTTCTATACCTTCTTCGAAGTAGAATTTTACAAAACTCTCGAATTTGCGAATTTGCATAAAGCTTATTGCTAAAAAAGATGCAAAAGTTCAAGAGAAGGATCGGTTATCATTGGTAATTTCCGGAAAACATGACGAAGCGTACCGAAATAGACCCATTTATTATATTTGCCATCTTCAGATGTATCACACTTGGAGCAGTGTACACACGTTTGATACATACTTGAAAGTACACTGATCTTTAAGGATTTTATCTGATTGTCTCACCGTGTTCTTCCCTTCAATGCAACAGTATCGAGGAAAATGTTACTTACTAAAATTTTATTTGATTTGAATTCCAATGAATAAATAATCAATCGAATAAAGACTTATGCGAATATGAATATGTAAGTAAACACAATTGAATATGTAAGTCGAGTAAATAAATATGACCTATTCAGATCAGTAAAGAAAATAATTTGCGACGATCGATGAATAATCAGTAACCATGTGGAATATTCGAATAATGAGAATCCAGTCTGCCAATTATCTTAAATAAATATTTATCTGCAGTATTCCGAATAATACCTATCACTTTTTAGTGTACATACCAAGAGACAACACGGTATTTTCTTGCTTTCGTGTTGTACGCTTGGCATCTGTGTAAATCGGAATTAATTATGCAGTTTAACATTTGTCATTTCCAGTCCCTGTTCTTTCATCGCGCGAAAGGGAAAGACGCGCATCGCGCGCGAAGCATGGAAGGAATTTTATAGACATTGCATGTGTATTTAAGAGAACTTATTTGTGACGACTAGGCGATAAGTATCAAAAATATCACTCGTTATCTTTATGATTTTTGTCCCTGTTATCAGTTGTAATTCTGACTATAAAGACGTAACTCTGTGTACCGCGAACAGACATGTACGTTCTAGTTGTTCGGGAAGCGCGGCGCGTATCAATTCGAATTATTTGGTGCCGGGCAGCCCTACTAAGGCATGGACGAAATCAATGGTAAATCATCGATTACCGAACCGAAACTTATCGCTTCAATAATCAGCTTGCTCATCGACAAATCATGGTACACGTGTCCTTTGGAAGTCAGTGATTACTCGATCATAGATTATAACGTTTTAAATGTCAAAGGCAAGATGTATTATCATCCCCGATGATTGAGAATGTGAATATAAACCTACGTCGTGTCAAACCCTCTGAATTATTCAAATTTGATGTAACATTTAATTGCACTATATCCTTCTGCTTATACCTATTTAAAGTTTCAATAACTTCTTCGTTGTTAGAGACTTTAATTGATGATTATTCTATGTACATTTTACAAAAATGGTTTAGTCTTATAAATATCTTCGACAAATTTTTCGAGATTTCCTTCTGTTTTAATACTTCATTAACCCATTCGCTACCAACATTTCTTCCTTAGATAAAACATATTGTCTTTACGAGATATAAATAATAATAGAGAAAAAAAGTCTTCGTGACTTCCTCGGCACTATACCCTATAATTTACTCTTCTTTGTACAAAATATGAAACATTGGTCGTCGCAAATATGCGACACTCGTAGCGGACGTGTTAATATTATTAAGTGTTCGAAACTGGTTTCTATACAATTCTTACGAAATTCCGTATCTATCGTTACAATTATATATGATTCTCAGTACGATTTGTCAATGTTTTATAAATTACTGTGACAATTATCTTCACATAATTCCATTCCTGTGAAATCCACTGTGGTGCGTCGCTTGTAATTTGTCCGCCTAACAGCCCAGTATGCGTCACCATTCGAGGAAAATTGTTGCTTTCGATATTTATCGCAGGACATTGTGCGTGTTCGTTTTTCCTCGAGGGTACCGGATATGTATACCGACGAAAACGAGCCGGTTAATGTTTTATCGTCTCTTTATTCGGAAGTGGCGTGCGGCATGATAGAGAAATGACAGATATTGATCGCATGATCGCTAACGTCGGGATGGTCTACCTCTGCTGTATATTCATTCTCGCGTACCCTAGTTTTCACGCAGCCCGGTAATATTTATAGACTTTTACATTGCCGCGAAGCGTATTTCTTTCGTATTCAAAACAAACCTGGCTGATCAATTTATATTCCCGCGCGTTTGCGAACGCTTCAACCGTTTTTGTTCGGCGTCAGTGAACTTTAACAACTCCGTTCACCGTTTGTTTGAACGTTCTCCGTAATAAGCGCACTGGGAACAGCGTCGAATAGACGAGAATCTTAACGTCTCATGTAATGGTTTTATGTAGTGATTAACCGATGAGGACTTATTAACCAATACCTTAATAGTAGTAGTAATAAAAACAGTGACCTTGCAGAAATGACTTTTAATGTACATCTTTTGGAAATTCTGATTTAAAATAATATTATTAAATTCATTTTTAACATATCACAGACATTGGAAAGCCTATTAATATGGTATTAACATGTATTGATAGAAAATTTCTGATAACGTTGAAGTTTATATTAAATTTATTTCATAATACTTATGGAAGCCTTGACCTTACTCAACCAAGTCCAAAGAATTCCAGGTACTATTAAATCGCGGGGATTTATCTGACTGAACGTTTTATAATAGTCACGAGCAATTTTAATCGCGTTTTGTACACGTTATCTCGAATAAAGATCAGTTTCAAGAAACTGTGCGCTACAGAAATATTAAAAAAAGAGTACATCTGGCGTAAAGGTAATTACTGATATCCTGCACGTAAGTGTATTTCTGCGAACGTGGTCAACGCACGTACACCCGTATCGTAGAAAGTGCACTATGATTAAAGAATGCGTTATTCGCGACATGTTTTAGCGTGCTCGCAAAGTTGTTTCTTTCTTTCGTCGGACTACGAACGACCACTGCACGCGGTGTGCTTATACATTCGGCGACTTACTTTTTCCTTGGAAAAGAATTATTTAACGCCCGCTTAATTTTCGCTATTAGTTCCACCGCCACTTCTGATGGCACCTGACTTCGAATCGCTTTGTTCGACTAACCCACTTTTCGAAATAAATTCTGTGTCTTTCACCTGTCACAGATCGCAGGGACGACAGTTTCAATGCCATTGATATTCCTTGAAACCATTCTCGTAATTCGATACTTAAATGTTTCAACATTTTACTTCGATTTACTAGTTAACGCCACTATAGTTACGTTTCTATTTTATATCTTACTTATGCTGTAGATTAATAAGCGTTCCCTGCAGAAATACAGTTTTAGAAATACTTTGATCGATAATCTTAAAACGAAACAGTAGAAACAGGTTCTTACTTGTATCCTATACTTTCGAAGTTAAGATTTCTGTTTCAGCAGCGTATAACGGTTTAATACCATTCGGAATCTATTCAGCACATTCTACGCGAACTGTAGTGAAGTTCAGCGTTCCCGCTTCATGTCATCGTCTATCTTATAAATCAATACCGTACGGCTAGAAGTAATGTACGTGGCGATATCTTTGTCGTAGTTATATATAGCTACATTTTCTAAAATAGACCGACGTCATAAATAGCCGTTGCTCTTTGTACACGCGTATCAACGTAATTGAAGCGTGAAAGTGGAATATTGCTCAAAAATAGCCGTCCGTCATACCCTGGACAGATTCATGGAATTCCCTATCACGTAATCGATCTATTCACCATTCTTTGAATTATTTTGAGAATAATTATCCACGTATAAACTCCTTCGTGATAAACGTACCCAAACTCAAATCGGATTCTATTTCATTCTGGAAAACTTCATTTCGGCTGAGAAGAAGAACATTTTATTTATATTTGAATCATACCTAATTTAAATTATATTTTAATTAACTTGTACCTACATCCTCTCATAATGAATTCAGAAATAAAATGGACACACGATTCTAAAGTCTGTCGTTTGGCGAGACTTTACGGAGGGTGAGCGTCGCATTTCATTAATTCGTGATCCAAACGTCCGCAAAAGAGCATTGGCAAAGAGAACGAGAAACTGAGATAAATCATGTTGCACATTCGTGTAGCCAGTCACATAAGCGTTCATAGTCATGTTGTATCTTTTGAGTCATACGACTCCATTTTTTTCGTCTTTGGCTACGAGGTAGCAGCGAGACGCTAGCTAATGAGAGTAGAGACGAAAGAATTAATGCTAGTTACCAATATCGCGTTGGATCTGTCATGCCGCGCGACGTTACGGGAGGAAAGGTGTAACTGTCAATATTAATTTATATGTTCATGGTTTCAGCAATGTCTTTGGAGGAATCACGACGTTCCCAACGACCGTACAGGTACGGAATGGTTCTACTTTGCGTTGGAGCACTGATAAACTGGCTAGGCCTCGCAGAGAACTACGTCGAACCGGTACGATATGTCGGTGTTGCTTGCATAATCGCGGGGGCTCTTCTCATATGTGCCGCGATGTGTTGTTGGCTGCACGCACCGCCAAGTAGGGCAACCATGCACACACAACACACGAATCATCCAATCACAGCACAGGTAAGACTTCATTTTTTTTCTAACTGTGGTATACGATAAGTTCTTTACCAAAAGTGTCGGCTTGTCAGTTTTGTTCGTAGTCTTGCATATTCTGTACTGACAAGATACGAAAGCAAATTTTGCATTGTCGACAATGAACTTTGAGAATCTATAGACTAATCTCATAATTAATCAGAAGAATTATGTTAAAGTGAAACCAGTACAATTTTCGTGTGCTGTTAACATTTTATCGCGTAATTTTGATATAAAATAGGAGATTATAAAATTTGACTAATATCACTACATTTTGCCGCATTTCATTGTCGAAATGTACTCTATGTACCTGCAAAAATCGAAGAAAAAATTGTTGACAATTGATAAGCTCGAGACAGTTTTCTACTATTAATGTGGTTTAGCGGATAAGATTTATATTAATACCAAGTATTTGATTATTTGTGTTTCGCGTAAAAGCCCTATCTCTCGCAGCAATCTCGACGCAGTACGGTTCGCCACGATTTAGGGGTTTCGAAACGGTGTTCTTGGTCAAAGATTATAGCATTTTTAGATCGATCCGGGTCAACCCCCTCTTATAGAAGAGTACTACACTGTAGTATAGTAGTATACCACCGAGCCGTAATTATCGTCGATTGTAAACGGGCTACGGGATAAAAATAATATGCTTCGATCAGAATCGTCGCCGCCACCTTTCTTTCTGACGTAATTCACTCGGGAGTCTCCGAACGCGTTAGCAATGTTTTATGTACATAGGTTTGCGCACGCTATATAGTGGCCTGTCATAATTAGATTCGTAATGATTAGACGGCGGACATTTACGTAATCGTGTATCCTTACGGTAGAAATTATTTTACACGTGTAGTGCGTGTTTTGACATATCATATCTGCATAAACACCCACGGTCTATTAATAGTTGACGCTAACTCGAGAAAAACGGGTTCGACGATCAACAAATCGCCAATATCGCACAGAATCGATGAGCTGCCAACAATAAATTTGGAAACATTAGCAGATAATGAGATAATTAAATTATTCTATACCCCTTTTACTAGAATTTTAAATAGCTTCATGATACATTTCTTCCGCATTTCTCACATTTTATTCGATTTACCTATATAATAAGAACTTTCTCTTATTAACTTCATTATACTTCGTTGATTACTCTTTTCGCAACATTTTCAATGTAAAATCACCACGAGATCGGAAACTTCACGGATAAACTTAATGTGCAACGAATCAGAGAATTGTATTAATGAAATTCTGTGAAAGATTATGCTTATGAAAGAGTAAAGAAAAATATGATTCAACGTGAGATTCTTTCGAAAGTTCTCGCCGCCGGCGCAGATCTTTACGATCGCTACACATTTTTATGAGAGCGGTGTCGCGCCGGAAAACAGACTGACCATACTCCTCACTGTAATTTAACGAAGGTTTTGTCGCGAGTTCGCTTATCTTCTCACGATTCTATTTCAAGTGTCTAGAACATTTCCTCTTTTGTTTCTTTCGTGGTATTCTGCGCTCGTTCCCATTGTGCTAGGATCCTGATTACGCGTTGTTCTCGAAAAGTTCACTCTCGAGGCTCATCTTCGCGTTGTTTCCTTTCTTCTTTCCCTTTTTTCCTATTTTCCCCTCTTTTTTTTGAAAGTAGCGTGTAGAAGTAGTATGTACGCGCGACTTAAAATAGCCGTCGTTCCTCTTTCCACGAGGGAAACAATAGAAATGCGAAGGTTGTCTGCAGCTCAATGTATAAAGGAGGTCGGTGGTTGTTGCGGCGTGTTTAACTGCTGCTGTTAAGGATATTCACCCAGAAGCTCTGCGTCTATATTTATCGATGGCCATCCTTCGATGCACCCTTACCAGCCGCAGCTATTGATTGACACATACGCGAACTCGAAAAATGTAATTTACAGATCATCCCGGTGAATTTCGACGCTCCGTAACATTGTTTATGCGAACGAGGCCATACACACGAACTTTTCGAAACTCGCGCTGGTACGGTTTCATAACAATGAATGAATATTTATCCTGCGTATTCAAGAGATTTTCACGAAAGATATATTAATTACCGTAATTGTAACAGAATAATAACCTCCCAAAGCTTCCTTTAGATTTGTTCGCAAAGAAACTCAATCTAATTCTTCAGTTTTATTAGTCCTTAATATTCTCCCGAGAAATATGACTACCGTACTTGTAATCTAGGCAAATTTATTTATTCATCCTATTTGGTGGATACGCATTCAATATTAGGAAAAAAAGATTACAGTTTGTATTCCGAGTCGAATATCCAACAAGCGAGCAGCGTGCCTGCGGTTGTCGTTAAATAAATGTAATTCCGTGCTATGTTCACGAAGCATGAAATGATGAAAAACGTAAAACGATAGTGGTTGAACCCGTCGGTGTTGCAAGCCATGCCCCGCAAACCGTACCACCGTGCCGTAACGCGGAAAAATGACGGATTTCGCGAGGAGAATCGGTTTCCCGGGGTCAGTCATTCACCTGGCGACACAGTCAGTCTGTGACATGATTATGCAATTTTCACGGAAGCTTTTTTTCTTTTATAGCCTCGAATAACCGCGGCTATTCTCATCCACTCTATTACTCTGTACGTTCCCCCGCAAACGCGCCCTTTCTCGTCTTAGGTCCCGACCAACTATAAACTTCATAAAGGTGTCGAGGCGAGCGTGTATGCACATAGATATCTATAGACGACCTGAGATATATATAGAGAAATACCATTTCGGGGTTAATATCCTTGCGGTCGGGTATAATGTCGTCATAAAGTCGAGTGATAAAAGTTGACTCGCTTTTAATGTTACCTTCGCCGATCGGTAAAAATTCATCGTTGCCCGTGCGACTGTAAAGTTGTCGAGTGTTTCACTTCTTAATTGCAGTTTCGTTTTACGTGGAAGAGAAACGAACGGACGTTCGCCTAATTCTACGTGATATTCGAGCCGGTATGATTCATACGGTAACTTTCTGATCGCAGATAGACGATCCGATCCATGTGATCTCCATCGAGGAACCATCTAGTGGATACAGACAGAAGCCGCCAGACTACGAGGCAGTCACGGATGCGCCACCTAGCTATGATGACGCCATCAAGTTGAATCCTAGTCACTTGGTTAGGCTGAGCAACAGCAGCGCGTTGTCGATGCCAACTGTACACAACATGGTTCCCAGAACCGTGGAAATTGTTTCTAGGGACCCCACGCCGTCACCGCCGCCGCCGTACGCGAGGTAAAATTTAAATGTGCCTTGCGCGTCCGCTTTCTCCTTTTATACTGTAATAGTCAAAAATATGGAGATCCTAGAGAATTTGTTGTAAATAACCTATTAAGTCTATCAGTTTCGTAGTCTGCAGATGAACGAATGTTTATTTAAAGAATACACGATATCTTTTTAAGTAAAAGTATTGATTTAATTCAAAGCTATAACAGTTCTACATATTGTCGGTAAAATTCAAACAATTCATGCATTCTCGATTCAGAATCACTTGTAAAGCGTGATTCATATCTATACCATATAGTAAGAGTTAGCAAAGAGAGAACTGAAAGGAGGACAAGAAAATCCGTGTACATAGGAAGGAGTATGACGTGTTCCCACTGATGTGACGTTACAGATTGTGTTATAATATTCGCTGACGTCAGGTCGGGCTATAGATCCGTAATCATTTACTACTGAATTGGGTATTAACCAATAATCAAACAGGATGTCGTTGTCTGTTATTAAATATGACTGATGGGACGCGTCGCAAATATCACTGAATTACTTGGGAAATTTAAATGACCTCTACGATTATGTTTGTCTCCTTTAATTTCAAGTTAATGTTCGCACATCCGCGGTGGATAGCTCTGAAATATTGTTTTTTAACCAATGGATGTTTCTGTTTTTATTGCAGGTGAGATTGTCGGCGTCAGCAGTCCCAGTTCGCAACGAAAGAGGTCTGCGATATGCTGGAGGCCCAGCGTTTTGCAATACAACTTAAATCCACCGATGTGCTACTGCGTGGCGAGAGTGTGAGGACTCCGTCACCCGTTATCGCCGTTAACAGCATGGCCAACGTGGGGAGTTAACCACTGGACCTTGTCTACGTAGACTAAACTCTTTGTGTTCAAAGGATGATATGAGCGATCCATCGGAGAGGACACTGCTTTTACCACGAAATAAATAGAGCAACATGAAGGTAGAAACGAAGATAGAGTATACTAAGGTTAGTCACTTGATCAACGAGAATCATCAGACCTAGCAAGAGCGAAGACGATGAAAGCTGACGAAGGTGTCGCGATTATTGTGCCTTGTTCCTGGTAAAGAAGAAGGGAAGCCTAACTCTAATCGTAGCGAAAGGATCTAACTACGAAAGAAAAGCTTGGAAAGCTATCCGAAAACTTCGAGTGAATGCTCATGTGGTGTTCGAGGATGATTATCGGATTTGTCTGGCTAATTTAGAGCGACTCTAAAATAGCATGTATGAGTCATCGGTAAAGACACGCAAGAGGGGTAATATATTGTACGAGTGTGCTAAAGCGAAATGTGTCTACTTGCGGTCTAAGCGTGTTCATTACGAACTTCGAAGTGAACGTCAGCGATTAATCGAAGGATTCGTGAATCATCGAAGTGGAAAAGACGAGTGGGCGTTCTAAAGCTCGAGACACGACGCGTCCCGAGTTTGTCATCATTTAGACAATCGTGCGGCTTGTTATAGAAACCATTTGTTGCTTGCCATATGATTTCCATGATTGTCATTTTACACGTATACATACACCACATGCGAAAGTCGTTCGCACGTCCATTTTATTGTGATATATATGTAATGGTGATGCAGGTATTGCGATACGTCACTTGTCGAGCGCGATGTTGCTTCGTAAAAATGAGACTCTTTTTTTATACTGTGGAACAGCAAATATAAAGATAGTGAAGTTTTAAATTGAAATTTGTCTTCTTGATCCTTGCTCCTTGAATATTGTCCCGCTCATCCTTTATTTTGTAATATAGCGTTAAATACAGCATGAATACTGTATTTTAATTAAAAAGAATATTTATCACGCATTAAATCAGACAGTACATATATCACATGTGTTCCTATTAACAGTTCTATTTTCATGAATCGAGTTAAATGAAACGTTCACAATTCATCGATAAATACCCTTTATTCAATCGGAGTAACATTTATACTTATTTAAAGCATGTCATTGAACTTAATAATATTCGTACAACTTCATCAACGGCAACAATAATAATCGTAATAATGACGCGAACATAACGACAATAGTGGTAATAATGACAATAATAGCAATAAATATCATCAAAATGGTAACCACCACGAGAAGACCGGAACCGTCCGCGCGCGGGTCACCGTCATACACCCGTTCTTCTCGGTGTTCGTATTGCGTACGTGTTGAGCAAAGAAACAGATCTAATCACAGTGAGAATGGCAATTAGAATCGTAATGATAATGACAATGACAAGAATAATGATAACGTCGAGATTAATCGTAATCGCCGGCCGACTATCGCTACACTTTAATTTATTAATACCCTCACTACACGGTGTTTGGTTAAAGTATATTCACCCGAGTCCTCACGATCTGTCTCGATCGCGTCTGTTCACCGCCAGACAACCAATTGATTCACCGAAATCCCACCAACGTCGAATCACCTTCCGTTCATCTTCTCTATTTATATACACTGTCTCGTTCAATTAGTTACTGCGATGAAACGATTTCAGTCCGCAAAATAAGAAGCACTGCTCGCCGACGTGTGTATCTTCGCCCCGTTGAGCCGCCGCCAACATGTTCCATCGACATCTCTTTTCCGCGCGACAATTACTACCGTATTTAATTACTTTGTTTCGTATACGTGTCGATACCAGTAGCGAACCGAAAACCATTCCCAACATGCTGGATACAAAGCGTCCCGAACTTATCGTAATTTTAAACGGGCTCCACCTCGGTCCGTCGAGCGTCCAAGGGACCAGAAGATATCCCCCAATCTCATCCCCAAACCCTAAGATAGGCAATGCGTCGAATATTTACACTTAGTTCCTCGCGTATATTTTACAATTCATTAAAAATCGACGAACCAATTACGGGGCACGTATAAGAGTCAACGAAAACCAGTAACAAACCCACGCGGACGCAGCAAAATACACGCATATCACCGCTGCGCCGCAACGTAGAATTCTTATGAACGGAAAGACGAAAAACTATTGCACGCACGAACGAGTATCCTTCGTCCCGATCGATCGATCGATTCCTTGATTCACCATTCGTCGATCATTCGCGTTGGTAACGTTCGTAATTCGATAAACGCGCCGCGTTTAACGGCGGTATTCAACGGCGATCGACACTCTTCCGTTTTGACAATTCGGAGCATCCATGCAAAATGTTTCGCAAACGTTTTCGATCGATCGTCGGTCTCCCGCGATCGTTCGTATAATTATTTCCATCCCTCCGCGACTATGTACAACCCCAAACCCTATGGACAATGTGTTGCACCGTTCGTAGTCTCGTTGATAATATAAATGCGTCGGTATACTCGTCGCTATATATCCTATATCAGACAGTAGTAAGAGTAGTGGTAGCAATAATAATGATTGGATTAATCCTAGAAACGATTTCGGTGGTTGTAACAGTGACAATAGTAGTAATAATAGTATCTAGCCGGTAATGGGTACGCAATAGTAATTCATAAGTAAGTAGCCGTCGGTTTAGCAGTAAGCAGCGTTTAGCGGGTTCCCTCGTCCTCGGTTTCATAGGGCTTCCTTAT